TAAGGGAAGGTGCAGGTGCCAGGGGATTCTGGGGGTGAAGCAGAAGGGCAGACACCTGCAGGGAAGGGACCAGCACCAGAGGAGAGAGGCGAGGGAGGTGTTAGATGAAGGGATGAGGAGGGGTAGCTCACATGAGCAGAGCGGGGATACTGGAGGAGTGGGCACAGTGGGGGAGAGAAGGGCTGGTGGAGAGGGGCTGAGGGCAGTGAGAAGCGCAGGAGTCAGGACAGCAGAGGAGGGTGAGGGGTTGGGGGGCAGCAGGCACCAGGGGAGCTCATGGAGCAAGGGGAGATTTGGCAGCAGAAGGAAAAGGTAGCGGTTTATGAGATATTTAATAACAGTGGCACATCCAAACAAGACAGTAAACTTAGTGGCTAGCAAGTCTAAAAAAAAAACCTAAAAAGCAACCCCGCCCGGCCCGGCAGCACCGCACGGCGCCCTTTCTGCACCCGGGACCCCGGCCTTGTCCTCGGCCCCACCCAGCCCGGCAGCACTGCATGGTGCCCGTTCTGCGCCTGGGGGGGGCCGCACTGCGCAGCGCCCCTTCTGCTCCTGGGGCCTCGTCCTTGGCCCCAGTGAGGCACCCCAGGCTAGGGCCCGGCCAGCCTGTAGTTTGGGTTGGCTCTGACTCCAGCCCAGCAAGCTGGAAGGCAGAAGCCGGCTTAGCCTAAGGAAAGGGAAAGGGAGAGGGAGAGGAGGAAAACAGGCAGGGGTGGGAGAGGCAGAGGCCTGTGCTGAGGGGAGGGAGGCAGGTCAGGAGCAGAAAGGGGAAAGCACCAAGGGACAGGGTGGAGAGAACGGAACATGCAGACCTCTATGCTGGGGCTGGGACTTCCACTTTCAGGAAGGAAGTCAAAGCACAGGCCCCTCAGACCACCCATGATGAGACAGGCAAGCAGCTAACCTGCACGGAGCTCTTCTGAATAATGGACATGAACTAGACCAGGAGAACAGCAAAGTGAAGAAGCTCTTAACGTCACTATTTCCTGACTCAAGGCTGCCCTCCTCATCTTAGTTTTACTCCCTTGCGCCTACGTGTTAGTCTGTATTTGTACGATCACTTAGTCTTTTCACCGCACCCCACGTCGTTCAGTGCACAGGTCGGACAGTGCAATATGAATTAGGAAGCGGTTCTTAAATATGTATATATTTTATCCTCACTTTTCAAGGTCTGCTCCCTTCACATTCACTGTACATCCAGTCCCTGAACTAAGTGAGGCAGAGGTCCTATGGAGAAAAAAAAATCTGTACGCAATCATGTAATTAAAGACTGTCTACTACATGGGCACAGTCGGGCCAGAGTTCTGGCTGTCAGAGCCTCCTTTGCATGCCCCCTCGTATTACACAGGAAGTTCCTTAGAATTTACCTCCATACGCTGTAGCAAAGCCAGCACTACACTGTGAGGTTATAAAAACAATCCTTTGATTCTCTGGCAGCAGCAGCAGTGTGTGCGTGATACACATTTTTAAACCGCTGAAATTCTCCAAGTCACAACAGATTTTTCACCAGCACCCTACAAGGCAGACTGGAGACTACACACGACTTGTTCTCACGCTTCTGCGGCAAGCCAGGAGACACTGGCAGAAGTGTTTTGTTTTGGTTAAAACCAAAGAGCATGTCCCCCTACACGTACTATTAAAAACAGCTCTGGAAGATATTCAGCCCAAAGACTTGACTGAGCTATGCTACCAGCTTTTCAAACGGCAGTGCGTAGACAACTAGTCACAGGTGTAACTATTCACAATACCTATATTTAAAGTTCTATCCGCTCCAAGATGGGCACTTCGCTCTGATGTGTCTCAAACTCAGTCCAAGGACACTTGAAGAGAATCTCTAGTCAAGAAAGATGTGCGACTTGCAGTTTGGTCCTACATTCATCTGAGAGGCACACCCAAAACAGCAGCGCACTTAGAGCTGCTCTGGTGGAAAGCCATACACACCAGTTTCAGAAAGTCTAAGCCAGGGTGGACAAAAGGGCCTCCGCAGGCCAGATGCGGCCCACCAAGCAAGTTGATCCAGCCCACAAAGGCCCTGCCGCTCCCCCACCTCCAGGCCAATCAGGGTTTGGAGATGGGGAAGCCCGCAAAGTTTCCTCCCCATCACGAGGGGCTGAGCACTTAAAGTCAACTGCCAGCTGCTGCTTAGCTGGTGGGTGACTAAGCACAGCTCCTTTGCAGGGCAGGAGCAGGGAGCTCGAGACTTCACATGCTCCCCTCCCCAGGCCTTGATTGACCTGGGGGTAGGGGGGAGTACACCAAGTCTCCTCCCATCACCAGGGACACAGGTACCTAGAGGGAACTGCCAGCTGTTCAGAACAGCTGGTGGCTTTGTCTGGGGCAGGGCAAAGACTTTACACACTCCCCCACCCCAGGCCAATCAGGGTCTGTGGGAGGGGAAGCACAGATGTGTCCTGGCCCCACCCCTTCCACCTGAGGCCCTGCCCCTTCTGGGGCAGCTTCAAAAATTATTGCCCGCCCCCTGGTCTAAGTGCCGAAATTGAAATCAAAACTGCCTGAGTCTCAGAGTGGCAACCTAGATACTACCACCTCTTCTTTGGGAGCATCTTAGTCTAAGATTAGGATCACTTTTGCAAGGCTTAAAAAAATTAGTACAAGCATTTGCCTACCTTAAAATATTCTACAAGATCTCTACAAGTCACCTTGGATCCGCTGATCTCTTTTTCTACCAAGTTTTCAGGAGCAAGTAGTAAAGGAACCAGATTCCGCAGCTCTCTCTTGAAATCATCATCAATGTCTGGTGGAAATGGAATCAGAGAAAAAGGTGATCACCTCAATGTCAGGTAACAGTGAGTTTCTTCTCTATAAAAGCACCCTGACAACAAATGCCTTTAAAAAAACAAAAGCATCCTGACTCAGAATAAATTCCATATCCTGAAGAAATATCTAAGGCTTAAGGAAATACTTTAATTCTACAAGAGTTTTCAATTGCCAGAGTAGCACTGGAGTAAACAGAATAAATTCACTGAAAAAACAGTTCACAAATAACCGTGAAGTTTCTGCTCCTGGCACATAACTAGAGGAAACTGCCCTAAGTGAAAGAAAGTTTTTACATTACCCTTTGACACACTAGCAGCTCTTCACCCTCCAAAATAGGACTGTAATTACTGGGATTTTGGCTGGAAATCCTCTGATCTTAGACACAGCAGAATCCCACTGCTGGCCACCTTGGGCTTCAAATCCTGATTTTTTTAAATTAACGCAGTAATTCTAATTCTGAAGGTATCTTACTTAGTATGTCTTTAAGAGAAGCAATTTCAGCCTTGAACAATATTAATGCTCAGCATCTACTCCTAATTTTAATGGCTCTTACACAGTGTTAATGCTGCAAGTTTATAGCCAACAGCCACCTGAGAATAAGGAATAATATCACTGAATTCCTCCATGTTCAACAACCCAGAAAGAAAACATGCCAATGCACACCCCTAAGCTTCACCTTTTAACCCCAAATCATTCAATAACCTAGGGATGGAAGCGACCAGTCAACTATCCAGTAAATAGAAGCTTAGCGGATACTCGAGTAGTGGAGTAGTGACTCGACTAGTTGCTTTCCTCCCTTCCTGCCTCTATCAAAGAGGCAGCAAGCTGGGAAAGGGGGAGGGGGGAGGGAAGGGAGCCAGTTTAAAAGGCCCACTGCAGCTGCTTCAGCTTTTGAAATGTACAAGAGTCCTGTGGGGTTCTTGTATATTTCAAAAGCAGAAGCGCCACAGGGAGCAAAGCAGCCACTGTCTGCAGGGACCCCAGCAGGAAGCTGGGCCCACCCCCCGTGAACAGGGGCTGCTGCCACCAAGCAACCCTTGTTCCTGGCTGCCAGCCTTGTCCACTGCGAACCGAGGCTCTCCAGCACCAGCGCATTTGCAGCAGACAGGAGCATCCACCACAAATGGGCTGCTGGACTCAGCAAGAGCTGGAGCAGTCCGGGCTCGCGCTGATCGCTGCACCCCTGCATTTTAAATGCAGAAAGGGCCTGGCGCCCCGCTCTGCAGAGCAGCAGCACAGGCATCCTGGAGCTGGCACAGGCTGGTACTGCTCAGTCCCAGCCAGCTCCGGGAGCTCCCCCCGCTGCGGCTCTACAGAGCGGTCCAATCGACTAATCGTGTAGTAAATATCAATTGTTTTGACTATACGACTAGCCCGGTGACCACATTTTATCATCCTTACAATAAACTCTACACGTAAGGCGGGTGGGGAACCTCCAGCCCACCTCCCAAACCTGGCCCCCGCTTTCCTTTGATCTGGCCTGCTGCGCAGACTTTCCACAGGCCAGCAGCCCTGTGCGTTAGCAGCCCCTGCGGGACTGGCGCTGCGAGTATCCCCACAGGGACGCCAATGAACAAGCAGGGAGGAAACAGCGACGCTCTGCCCCAGCAGTTCCCAACGGTCGGGAATCCTGGCTAGTGGGGGCAGTGTTGCACACACAGAAAACAGCTTCTAGGGTCGGCACAGTATCTGGGTAGGGTGGGAGCCTGCCTTAGCCCTATTGCGCTGCTGACTGGGGTAAGTAGGACCGGACAGAGCTGGCACCCCACAACTCCTGAACCTCTGCCACTAGCCCTGAGCCCCCTCCTATAACCTGCATCCCCTCCCAAACCCTACCCAAGATCAGAACCCCTCCTGCACCCTAATTCCTTCCCAGACCCCGCCCTCCCACCTATACACCCCTTGCCCAAAGTCAGAACCCCTCCTGCAGCTTCACCCTCCCAAAGCTGGCACCCCCAGCCAGGAGCCTGCTTCCGCACCGTGAACCCCTCATTTCCAGCCCCCCGGAGCATAGGGGAACCTTGAGTACCCATGCTCCTACATGGGGCTGTATGGCCCCCAACTGATTTCTATTGTGGATCAATGGACCCCAACAGAAAAACGTCCCGTCCCCGCCAACTTTGTGCCACAACAAAACAGATTCAGCGATATATAACCAACGCCATTAACACAATGAAATGCTTCCTACCATTCAACCTCCCATCAAAATTTGGATTAGTTGCAACTTTAAGACCAGGGTGAGGCAAGAGGAAACATCCAAGGTTGCTGAAACAGGAGCGAATATGCTTTCTTACATTCTGTAACTCTTCGTGCTGGTTTTGCTTTACCTGAAAAAAAAATTAAAAAAAATCAAGTAAGAATTCTAAATGGCTCTGTGGAACAGAATGCAAGACTTATAATTAAGTTTAAGTTGTAGGAAATTTATGAATAGATTTAATACTTTGTCTAGCCTTTTTCTCAATTTCTATAAAAATGTAGGTCAGACAGAGGCAATTACTTGTCACATTTAAATGTCATCTGTCTTACAGAAAACAGCAAGCAGAAAAATATTTAGCCAGTTGTGTGTAGCTAGCTCTCAAACAAAGACCCACACCTGAACTAAGTAGCCATAGTTTGGGGCCTGTAAGTCACCTTACCTGCAATCTCTTTTCTAGAAAGTTTTCTCCTCCTTCCAGGCCATACGAGTGTTCATAAGGATAGCTCCAATCTCTAATTAAGAACATTAGTGTCTACATAGAAGAGCACAACAGTGAACAGTTAATGTCATATTCTCTAGATTAGCAGAGATAATCCAAGACCCCTACCTCTGCTGCTGATAATTCAACAAACTATAATCCCAACTCTGATTAGCTGGAATTCAGGACACTTGTTATTCCGCCATGTGTTGTGAGCAAGTACAGCTGAAAGAGCATGTCAAGCTAGCATATACTTGTGACCTTTGGCAGCAGAAGAGACATTCTCACCAGCTACTCTAGTTTCTCTGTCCTTTGCCAGCCCAGATAGAAGGGTGTCTCTTTTCCATCAACTGGAGACATGAAACAGATCTTATGACATCACTCCTCCTATCAAGAGGGGAGCTAGCTGAATGGCACTAGCCATATCCACTTATGGTCTCTTGACTATTTAGTTCTTATATCAAAGCTAGACCAAGTAGAAGCAGCACACAGAACAAAAAGGAGGGCCTGAAAGTTTGGGAAACACTGAATTAATAGGCAAAGGAAAACGGGAAGGGAACTCAGTTCAGAATGTTCATGTCCCTTGGCGTAAGCCTGCCTGGTGCGAACAGGCATGAGCATGTGTCCCCAAAGAGCTAGAGCCAGAACACCCATTCCTCCTTCAATGTACTTTTAAAGGAGCCCTGACTGTCTCATCACAGGTCACTGCTCCAGAACAAGGCAAACTGTTCTGGAGGAGCATGGCACCACTGCGCATGCGCAGAATTTATGTCCCCCGCAGATTTAGTTTCCACGCAGGAAATAACCATCGGAGAAGCAAAGGGAAATCACAAAAGCAGTCATATAACCCTCCCAGTAGTGAGTTTCAGGTGCCCAGGGCAGCCAGTTGAGAGGTATACACTGTGGGGAGAGCAGGACTGGAGAAGACACAGCTGGTGGCTCCACACTTAGTTGCTAGTCCCAGGTGGGCTATGGAGGGCAGGACTTCTTGGATGGCACCCAGGGTTAGGGCAGGCCCTCCCCCAGTCACAGGAAGCACTGCAAGCTCTTCCCTTACCGCCCCCCATGCTTCCTACACTGATCGCGCTTCAGCTCTTTACAGCAATCCCTCCTCCTGCTGCTGCTCTGCTATCTGTTCAATCCCCATGCCTCCAGACCCCCTCATACCTAGACCCTTCCACCAAACCTCTTTGCCCCTGTACCCAGAATGCCCCCAAGAGCCTTACGCCCCCTGCGCCTGGACCACCCCAATGAGCCCCTCGCACCCTACAGAGTCCCAGCCAGCTGCAGCTGGATCTCCACTCTATGCAGCCTCAATTCCCTCAGTATCTGGACCTTCCTCAGAGCTCCAACCCCATTCCCTGATCCCCCTGCTGAGTCCCAACCACCTTCACACCTGGACCCCCTGAAGAATCCCATTATTGTTACATTCTGAAGCCCCCCTCCAAGTAAGCACCCATGCATCCAAGTTTCCTGACCATATACCCAGATCCCCCACTAAGCCACTGAAACCACCCCACACCTGGATCCGTCCTCCCTTACTAAGCCCCTCTATACTTAGTTCTTTGCCTTGATGAGCCTGCCTGCCCACATCTGCCATGGAAGGTCAGGACTCCGGGGTGTTTCTGGGGCAGGCCTACAGTATCTGGGTTGGGTGCAGCCCCCATACGCTCAGATTTTGTCTACACTGCAGGGTTTTTGCACAAGAGAGTCCACACTGCATAGATGTTCTTGCGCAAGAAAGCTCTGATTGCCATGAATAGAATGGCCATCAAAGCACCTGTGCTTTTTCGGATAGGCTCTTTCTGTGCAAGACACCCCTGCGGAGCCTTGCTCACATGCCTTTTTGTGCAAGAGCTGTAGTGCAAAAAGGAGTTCTGCCTCGTAGAAGGAGGTAAACCTTCACCGCAGAAAGATCTGTCACTTGACTGTCGATTTGCACTTGAGATATGGACACTCTGCCGGTTTTTGTGCAAAAACCTTGTAGTGTAGACAAAGCCAGTCTGTGTGTGGGAGAGAAGAGGTATCTGCACAGTGATCTCCCGTCTCTGTCCAGCCCCACAGCCATGCTGGATTCTCCACATGTATTTGACACATACAGTTTGCGTTATTTTGCAGAATGGTTAGTTTTGCAGTGCTGAATGCCTCCAGGAGGAGGCACAAACCAGAATGGCCAGAGTAATATTGCTGATAGCACGGCCTATTTATAGACTTGCAAAATCCAGCACAAACTATCTAAGGGCAACTATAAAGGAAAAAGGCAACTTGAGAGGTTCCAAGTCCTCTCACCTCCACTGAAAACAGAGCAGAGTGAAGCTAGGGCTACAGCTCCTTACATAGGTCCACGCTGAGCATCTGGGCGTGTACGGGAACACAGGAGTCCTTAACTGCTTCCCAGAGGATGCCAGCATTGGTGACTCACATCCCCAGGAGCAGGGATCTATACTGTCCAGACTCCAAGGAGAGCAAGACAATTTGAAGGGATCTCATGAAAGCTGTTCTAGAAACAGTTAAACATAAAACCCCATCACTATTTAGGAGAGTTCAAAAGCTGAAAAGCTCTTAAAAATTGTTCATAACTCAACCCCCTTGCCAGATTTGCTTCAGATTTTCTAGGAAGATTCTATGCTAGCCTGAGTCCACGTACATGAAGTTTCACCAGGAAGATTACCACGGTTTGACTTTTCACATGTTGCCCAGACTTACAACAGAAGATGACTAGCTTCAGCCCAGCTAATTACTCTCCATAGTGTAAATTAACTAATTTCCTACCCTATGAACAGGTATTGGACAAATAGGTAAAAGGTTACAGTTTTGCAATATATTACCTGAAATGGCTTTTGGTAAATTTCTTCCATAGCAAGTCTTCCATACTCTGTAAACAACTGTTAAATGAAACTGTTAAGAATAATGCTAAATACCAATTACAAAAAGAATCTGTGTTGCCAAATGCTTCCTCTTTTATACATGGAAAATGTAATGGCTTCCAATTTTTAATTGAATATAAAAATAGCCCTGAAGTTAACCCTCAGCATCTTAAGGATGAGAATCCCAGTACTCAAGAAATTGCACTGAGGAAGGAGTTTGTATACAGGCAGTCCCCGGGTTACGTACAAGATAGGGACTGTAGGTTTGTTCTTAAGTTGAATTTGTATGTAAGTCGGAACTGGTACATATTGTAGGGGAAACTCTAGCCAAACATTTCTCCAGAGCTCAGTTTTATTCTCCCACACCTCACTTCCCTCAGCCCTTTATTCTCAAGCTGAAGTGTCTGCTGAGAAAAGCCACTCCGCGTCTCCCTGGTCTGCTGGGGGGAAGCAGCTAGTGCGGGGTTGCCTCACCCCGTTTGTAAGTAGGGATCCGATGTAAGTCGGATCCATGTAACCCGGGGACAGCCTGTACTTTCCTTGGCCTCTCAAGGGAGTCTGCCGTCATTCCAACAAAATCCACTCCTCTTCCTGAAGATTTCCCCTTCCCCTTCCTATAGTTCTCCTAGAACCCACCATTGTCTCTCAAAAGCCACCCACGCCACAGCCTTCCAGTGTCATTCTCCAGATCACCTGGTCACACAGCTGACACCTTCTCCCCCTGTGGCTTCCTAAGCTACAGCGGTCCCCCTGCCCAATTTCTATATCCAGCCCTCCTTGGGCAGCCATCGCCTGACACAGAACGCTCCCAACGCCGCCAAGGAGGGCCCTCAAAGTGCACGCTCTGGAAGGGGATTGTGCCCATAAAGTGGCCATTTAGGGCACAGCTAGTGCTGCCAGCCGCCCAGACAGGGACTGAAGGACAAGCCACAGGTTTCATTTCCCTAATCCAAGTATCTTCCCATCCCACCACAGGAGAGAGCTGAGGGAAGGAGATATTGCCCAGACCCTCTCAACCCCAAACTACTTTCCACAGCCTGCAATTGCATGGGTCTATATCTATCCCCCTTTCCCAGCTTCATCCACCAGGCAGTTTCCCCTCCTCGATCATGAATCTCATCCTCACCTATAGAGGAAAGTCCCACCCCACTCAAGTCAACCCCAAAGTTGGCAACTAGAATCTAACTGAAGTATCAGGGTCCCCTGGAAAATCAGTTTCCCTTTAACCTCTAGGAAACTGACCAGTTATTTTGCTCAGCATGCACTCTGGAAAACCCCAGTAAGAAGCACTTGTGCATTAGCTGCATTTGAGAAGTCAAATCAAGCAAAAGAGAACTGAAAAATTCTCAGAGGAAAGCTTCGCAATCCCAGTCATACTAAGTAAACTCCGTCTATGTTTACCTGCAAATGCTGGAGATCATCTTCTTGAATGTTCTGGGACAAGTTGTAAACCTGTAGGGGATACAGCAGTTCCAGATTTTTAGCAGGAGACATTTATTCTTCATGTTTCCATAACAGATTAGTCTATTGAGATCTAAGCAGCCATGTCAGAGCAGTACCACGTACTGCATTTGCACGTGCCACCTGGGCGTCACTATGTTGGACAAAACTGCTGTTTAAAGCAATCAGTTTCCTAATCCTAGCTAAGAAGAGTTCTTTCAAAAGTCAATGAGCTGCAAACTCTCTTCTGTTTTAAATTGGTTGAACATTCCCCTACATGAATAAGGGCGGCACATTTAGCATTAGCAGCTCAAACCCTTTCAATTCCTAACTCAGATTGCTTAGAGCAGGAATAGGTGATGCCCCAGAACATGCTACTATAATACTGTGTCAGATAGAACCCTAGCGGTGTTGGCCCAGAGTTGGCTAATTCTTTGCTATATATTGCTTGAGTTTGCAGAGTTCTGTTCCTTTCCTTTTAAATATCTCAGAGGACACAGATCTTTGCCAGTAAATCATGGCCTTGCCTGATCCTAGGACTGATAAGACAGTACCAATACTGAACACTGAGGCATAACTCAAGGCAGGGTCAGTGATCTATGGCTAGATTTGAAGGTGTTCAAGCCATATGTCAGAACAGGAAAATAATGTTTTAAATGCCTACTATGGAAGGTCAGCACAGTATTTCAAAAAGAAAGCTCTTCAATGTACCTCATTACCAAAGTGAAACCCACAAAACAATTTTCTAAAAGTTTGTTGTACAATGTTACTTGTAACTAGCAAGATTACTTCAACAGAAAGGGAAAAGTAGGATTCTCACTCCCCAAAAGAGTTTGCTTAATGAAACTGATTGCACACAGCTATCAAATGAACAGATGTGTGTTTGTAGGAATCTTTTGGACAGCACCAATGAAGAGAAAAGCCAGAAGTCATACAAGATGACAAGGGGCTCCAGGGCAAACCTATCATACTATCTCATTTTTAAAAAGTGGATCCGATTTCAAGTTGACAGTGTCTCTTTAAACAGCCACAAGAACTCATTTTCTTACTCATTAAAAGTGGGTAATGACTGTACCTTTCCCTCCTTCATGACTATTAGAAGTTAACTGGTAAATTTAGAAGACAACTTTGAAACTTATTTCCTGAGTCAGGATTTTGTTTGTGTATGGATTTCTAACAGATATATGTAAAGACCTACATTTTCAAGAGGTACTAACGAACAAGTGTCCAATCTGACCCTTCTTAAAAAGATCTGATCATTTTTGAAAATTTAGACCAGTCTCAAATATAGTATCTAACAGACATACTGCGAAAAGTTTGACAAGTTTTAAATGTAGCAGCAATAGTGCATTTAAGAAGTTATTGTACTACGTCAGTCCTCCCTTTGTACAAGCTGGACTATTTAGCAATTTTCATCGTGCATCTTTGTGGAGGTGTTTGATTTAAAAAAAAAATCTGGGATTCCCTAGAAGCATTGGCAGCACAACAGAACTAGGGACCTGTAATGGAGAAGTGTTTGGGCAATCCATGCTCCGAAGAGAGATTCATCTGCAATACTTTAAAAATGAATAGGCAGATCTCTTAAATACTCTTTAAAATGAGTAATGGAAATGTAAAGTCTGGCTATAGATATATTTTTATGAGGTCTTCTAAGCCAAAGAGGTTTAAAAGCTGCTGTTTATCAGCACAGCTGTTCTCACCTGGACAGAACTTGTCATGGTGCTCAGAGCAAATACCGTCGCACAGTCTTTGATAGTGGATTGGCTATCAAAGGCACCTTGGGTATCCATAAGTAGTACAGCCACCTAAAGGGTTTTAAAAGCAGCAATAAGTTCACCAAGACTTTATGCTTTCACCTCTAGGTTGCTGGATCAGATCCAACCCACCTAGTGGAAGTCATTGCCCCGCCGAGGACTCGTTAAAAAAGAGCTGATAGTCTCACTCCACAACTCAAACCACTACCAAAGAGTGACACCTTTACTGGCATTCTGCAGGGAGGCCCTGGATAGAACAGATACAGCGTTAGCCTCCCCCAGAAATCTCCGCAAGCCTGAGCAATAAGGCACTCTTACAGGGCACTGTAGGAGAGCCAGCCCTTGCTGTTGATTCTGACACACCAGAGGACTTTAGGTTCCAGGGCTAGCAACCCAGACCATTCATAAATGCTAGATGAGCGATTAAAGCTTACTTCAAGATATGATGCAATGAAGCAGTGTCTGAAGGAAAATTAGATGTTCTGCTGTTAGCTAAGGGATAAACAGTGACGCAGTCTTGACTTCAAGACACATCTGTCTGATCATCTGGATCTCAAAACAGATTCAGATTTCCTTTTCTTTGAGTTATAAAAGATTAAAGAGAACAAATGGGGAACATTATACGAGCTGCTAGAGACAAGATCCCACACTTTGACCATGCTGAGTCAGTCTGCTAGCCCTGACTTGGAAATCATGGAAGTTAGAGAGACAATTCTACGCAACTCAGAACACAAGATTCTTTATAACATTCACCAAGGCCACCATCTACTGTACTTACCTTTTAACATTACCCAGGCAATGATGTGGCCAACCCTCCCTGGGGGCTCTAGCACTGCCTTGCCTATGAAAAGGCTCTGAGGGGCAGGGGGCACACAGATGTGGAAAATGTAACCCTTCTGGTGAGCAGGGATTGCATATTTCACTACTGACAATGCAACTTGCGATCACTTTTCTTTGTTGTGAAGAGCTTATGTATAAACTTTTTTAATCTCAAGAACAACCTCACATCCAGGTCGGTACAGAGAGGGACAACTAAACTTCCACATACATTTAAAGCCTGGCCTCCAGATACTTTGTGGCCACCTGTACATCCCACTGAAGTCTAACTGCAGACTATGACAGCATCTCATTTTGCAGAATTCGTTACTTTTTCTGCAGAAGTCTTCCATTTGCCAGAGCATTGGCGGTTAATACTGCAGAGCCATTTCTAGAAAGTCTTCTACAAAAGCCTCAAAGTATCCTGAACAGCAATACGCTAGCCAAACAAAAATCTTTTAAAGAGGATTTGATTCTAGTTGAGTGAAACTAGACACACTCTCTCTCCCCCCTCCCCTTCTGTACCCTAATCCCTCTCTGATATAGAAGTGTTATTCTTAGAAATTTTTAGGGTTAATATAAAGAGTGTGTGTCACTGAGAAACCTGGGACAGCTGATCACTTCAAAAACTAACATTATAATCAAGTTCACGAAGGCAATGAAAGCTTATGAGGTTATAAAGGAGGAGTCCATTTAGAAATATTTACCTTTGTTCCATCCAATTTGTCAATTACAAACACTTCGCTCCATATCTGAATGCCAGTAGTTTCTCTTTCACATCCACCTCTCCACGTAAACCCAGTCAATGGCTCATTGTTCCCACCTATCCAACAGGAGGAATTCTGTTAAGAGAAAGGCACAAACTTACTCAACAGCAAAAAGGAAGGCTTGTAGAGTTGTATTTTAGCACACTGCCATATACTTTCTTAGAATAAGCTTTCAACTTACAAAAAGGATTAGAAAGAGGTTGCTTAGCTGAACCTGGAGTCAGAGCAGTCCGCACTTGCGGCACTACAATTCACGTGCTTTCTTCATGAAACCTTTGGAGAGTAGGGCTGCCCACATATGCAAATCAATGCCATCCCAACCCCCAAAAAGGGCAGCAACCTACAGTTGTTTCATAGAATCATGGGACTAGAAGGTACCTCAAGGATCGTCCAATCCCCTGCACTTACAGCATGACAAATATTACCTAGACCATCCCTGACAGGTCTTTGTCTAACCTGCTCTTAATTTTCCACTGTAACTTCAGAGTGGATATGCAGAGCAGACCATGTTAATCTGCACAGAACACCTAAAAACAACTAGTGAAAGACTCATTACCTGTACCATTTTGAGAGCATCCATGCTACAATATTTAATACACTATTTCACTCTAGCAGGGGCTGAAAAAGGGAAATTCAAACACATGCCCCTAGAATATTTAATAAACTTAGTCTTGTTTTTACTGTGCAGGTATTAAGTGCTGTGATATTAAGCATTGCGCTGATCCTGAATTGACTTGTACAGATATGCACCATTCCTTTGGGAACAAATTTGGTAGTTCTGTGAGTAGCTAGTGTCAGGGACCAGTATCACAAGGAAACACTACAAAGGGTCTGGAGTGCACCAATTGTAGTAAGTTGAGGGTCAGTAACATGAGGGTCAGTAACATGGAGTCAGCAGGTCTAAATAGAGGCTTGTAACAGGAAAACAGCAACAGCCCTGCAATCCAGTGAGCAAGACGTTGGTTCAGTAACACAGGAGCCAAGAAAGAGGCCCTATTGATAACTGTGTGATTGTGTAAGTTAGGTAGAGCATGGAAGGACACAGGGGGGCACTGGGTACAGACTAAGCCGAAGGGGAGTAACAGAACATCTTAAGAAATGTCTTGGTACAAAGACTCCCCAAAAACTAATGCACAGACCGACCTAGGTTCAGGACCAGGTCGGAATTGACAGCATGAAGGATAGTAAGCAAGCCCCCCTTCCGTAAGGTGAGGGGTGGTATCTAGGCAACAGAGGGAGGTAACCTGGTATGTAAAGAAATGATGTAAGTTGTTTGTACCTGTCTATAAAAGGACACCGCAAAAGGTGCTCTCCAGCCAACCTGGGGGAGGGGGAAGGGGGGCGCACTGGGCGCTTGAACGGCAGGTGTCATTGCCTAAACTTACAGAGTGCACAGTAGCTTAACTTTGACTAACTGCTGTTAATATCTGATATATGGCAATAGGCCTGCCCGGTGTTGGTACCTTGTCAACGCAGGCCATAGTGCCCAGTGGTGTAACATTGTACTGATCTCTGTTACCAACTGGTAGAGCTTCGCATTTGACAATAAACCTGCTCGACTGATTTCAAACCTTGCCTGCATCTGTTGTTTTCGGGGCCTCTCAGAGATCTCCTGTGTTGACCCAAGTGCACGGGGTCTAGCACTTTAGATAAAGGGAGCACCCATTGTTATGCATGCAGCCAAAAGTTTATCACCAACAGAGTAGAGGTCCTGTCAGGAGCGCGCCAGGGTGATCCGGACCAGACGACACTGACACTGACAGTCCAGACCACCGAAGGTACCGAGGTATGACACCAATTAGTAAACTTCAAGGTCAAGTCAGGGCTGACAGTCATTCTTCTGAGTCTGGGCTACCAGGCTGCTGCTGCTAAGGAGTGGACAGCCACCTAAGCAAACGCAAAACGCCCTCATGCTACAGGCAAGAGAAAACAGACACCTACCCGTGTGTAACTGTTGTGCACCACATCTAAAAGAACATGTCCATTCTGCTGCAGGGGCTACCGATTTTTCCCTTAGGACTAAATGTTGGAGTAATAGCACCCTCTGGTGTCTCACGTCACTGCAGAGTACAAAGGGCCATGCTGCCCTGACTTTCCTGTTACTTCCTACCATAATGATAGAAATGTAGCCGTGTTAGTCTGGTGTAGCTGAAACAAAATACAGGACTATGTAGCACTTTAAAGACTAACAAGATGGTTTATTAGATGATGAGCTTTCGTGGGCCAGACCCACTTCCTCAGATCAAATAGTGGAAGAAAATAGTCACAACCATATATACCAAAAGATACAATTAAAAAAAATGAACACATATGAAAAGGACAAATCACATTTCAAAACAGAAGGGGGATGCGGGGGAAGGAAGGTAAATGCCTGAGAGTTAATGGTATTAGAGGTGATAATTGGGGAAACTATCTTTGTAATGGGTAAGGTAG